TTCATCACTGTGTCCCACTATAGCCAATTTAGGGCACATAGGAAAAATTATTAGATCACTATTTTTTTTAAATCAGAACAACTGCTTCTTTTAATAGATGAGGGAGGGACTTTTTTATTTGACAAAATATTGTAAATATTGTATAAAAACAGGTTTAATTTTTATTGTTTTTTAAAGAAAACGTATTTCCAATCACAAAATTATATTGTTTTTTATGCTGTTGAAAAAATGATGCGGCCAAGGAAAAGAAACATTTTTTGTAAATTTCCGCATCAATATTTCCCAATTTTGTTGAAGCGGGCTGGAGTGATGATCTAATAATTTTTTTTGTATAGGCATAATTATGATCTGTTCATTGTGCGTTCGATTTTGATAATGATAAGAATGATAGGAGCACTGTATGATCAATGTGCGCCAAAATAAATAGATGATTAACATAAAAAGTATGATACCGTTTATATTTACAATACTGCTATTGTTTATAAAATTTGGTGGAGTAATGTAGTTCATGTGGTTATCATTGGAAAGTTATTGATCTATAAGTAAATTCTATAATCTGGTTGTTGAACGCATATAGACATATTTTTTACATTTTTTATTTTATTTCTTTGTTCATGTTCTTTGCAATTCATGACAAAGTAAACCCAACCATACATAATCAAAAACAGAGCGACGAAAAGGACCTCCACGAAACTCTTAGGAGCTTTTAAAATGGAGACCCGGTGTTAAAATTAAAGTTTGTTTAGACATAAAGACAGTATAACTGCCTAACTACAAAGATACACCCCCTCTCACCCCAACAGTCATATTTATTTGACTTACATTTATTTTGAACATTGCCATTAGGACATTGTTTAAATCCACACTAGCCAGAGACATTCATTCCCATTACATTATGGTCTTCCATTTCTATAGCGCATAATACAGTGCATGACAAACGTCACGTAACCACTACTAATTTCACCTTAATTCGGAGTCGCTCAGCTCAGTCTTACATGTCTAAATGTTCGTATTGACACTGTGTTTTTAGCATTGTTTTAAAGTAATAACCTATCAGACATTTACATGAACAACAAAACGAATGGAAATATATTTATCTTAACTATTGTTTTCAGCAAAGTGGCGTATCCATATTTTAAAGAAGGGGGTGCTGATGTACTGAGAGTCCATATCACGTCAGTACCATCGTGGTTGGCGGTGACGCAAAAATTTCAGTATTTTATACCACTGGATGCCCCAAAATGGAACTTACATTACCTAATAAATAATAATGTTTTTGACAAATTGAGTAAAAAAAAAACCCCCAATTAATCAATTAGGTACCCGAAAATGGAATTTAAGTATTTACTATTCTAAAAACTACCATATTCAACTGAGCCCCACTATGGTTGCGGCTCAGGTGAGAACATTTTGAGAAGTTGAGACTAGTTAGATGCGCAAAAAAGCACTTGAATAGTACAAAATTTACGATATCCACCTGAGCCCCACCATGGTTTTGGGGCGCAGATGAGTCAATTGCAAGAATTTGAGACTTTATAGATGCCCCAAACAACTCTCGGATACTTAAAATTTATGAAAATTTTAATCCATCTATCTCAGCCCACCATGGTTGAGGCTGAGGTAAAACAATTTTAAGAATTAGAGACTTTTAGATGCTGGAAAATGGCAAATACATAAAAACAACAAAAATTACTATATTCACAAAGGCCTATCCCCATCATGGAGGAGAGAAAATGTTAAAAATTTGGGAAAATGGCAATGTCATACATAAAAACTAGGAAAATTACTATATCCACCTGAGCCCCTCCATGTGTGTGGCTGCATGAGATAAAGCTGTAGAATGGAACTTTTATGTTGGTTATTTTTTAACATTTAAAAAGGGGATATCGATGGGACGCAACTGCCAAAAAACTTGGCAGCGAAAGGACGCTACCAATAAGCAATGAACAAACTACCGGGTTTCTGGGTTGATTTCCAAGGTACTGCATGGCTGAACTATATTTTACTTTAGGGTTAATTGGTAAAAATCGCACACAAATCATACGACGTCACTGACAACGCCGGGGACGGCAACTCGATCTTAAGATTAATTTTCCGAACAAAGTTATACTAAATAACTTCTAATGACGAACTATTGTCTTCAATTGTCTTTGTTGGTCATTCAACTGTCATTTTATCTATTTTTTCGATGATATTATATTCTCTATAATCTATAAAACACCCACATAACAACGTCACGTTAGAACGATCGGTGGGGACACTGTGGTGACGCCGGTAGGGTCAATTTTCGTCGGAAGGTATCAAGATTATAAACAGTTTCATTGGACTAAATTCTTGCTTAAGTTAACCACATGCTTACCTATTATACTGACACTGGTTTCAAATCACGGTCAAGTAGTTAAACATCACCTGAAATCACCTTATTTTGCGAATTAGCGCCCCTCAACTGATCATCGAGCCCCCCTCCCCAATTCATCTAGACTTCTAGATACGCCACTGACATACATGGCCAGATGAATGAAAATACTTAATCGATGTGCCACCAAATTGTAACCAGCCTTCACCATGCCCTCACGATGTCACCGTGGACGCAACTGCCAAAAAAATATTTTTGGCAGCGAGGACGCTACCAATAAACAATCAACAAACTTACCAGGCTTCTGGATTGATTTGCAAGGTACTACATGGCTCAACTATTTTTAACTTAGCGTTTTATCTATTTTTTCGGTAATATTTTCGTCGGAAGGTATCAAGATGATAAACAAGTTTCATTAGACTAAATTCTTGCTTATGGCGGCCACTGCGGTGGGGTTCCAGGCAGCCACGGATATTTGACGAATTATGGCGAATTTTTATTTGTTATTTGATAGGCATCGAGCTACTATAATATGACTTCATGTAGGCTATGTTTTCTAATGTCGAAATCAGCTTCAAAAACCAAAACATTTTGAATAAAACAAGAAACAAAGAGTTTGCAATGCAACCATTTAATTTCCTTACAAATCCTCTTTTTTTAAAGTGGAATTCTTCATTATGGAAATTTGCATGAAATATGTCAACCACGATGTCAAGGTCGAGGTTGCTTCCCTTATCGCAATGTATTCCAAGCATCATGAGGCTATCCAAACGAGCATTTGTCCTAACAGAACGCAAAATATTTTAAATTAGTGTCATTGAACTATTATTATTATTATTATTATTATTATTATTATTATTATTATTATTATTATTATTGTTGTTGTTGTTGTTGTCGTTGTTGTTGTTGTTGTTGTTGCTGCTGCTGCTGTTGTTGTTGTTGCTGTTGTTGTTGTTGTTGTTGTTATTATTATTATTATTATTAATATAATTATTATTATTATTATTATTATTATTATTATTATTATTATTATTATTATTATTATTATTATTATTATTATTGGTGCCACTACTGGAAAATTGCCATTTTCGATAGGTGAATAGGACCGAATTGTAACTTTGGAGCACTGGTGAATATTTATTACTTCGTAATTTGCAAAACGAATTATTTATAAACCATGCTTCCTACGATGTCATTATTTAGGTATAATGGCACTCGACTTCAACGGTTATTTAGGCCTATATATAATTGGAAGTAAAAACCATTATTTAGATATAATGACCATGACACGATAACACGTGTGCATTACATATACTGTAAAGAGTTTGAAATAAAAGCATTATGGTTTTGCGACAGCTATTATTTATTTATAAAGAAATGTAAAAGCAGTTATTTATAAATAATGACTTTGAAGTCAATTCGTTATTTATATATAATGAAATCAGTGAACTTATTATATATA